CACACACGCTGATTTCTGTCCTGTTGGCCCAGCACACACAGAAGCGGGCCCTTGGCCCTCTCTGTTCATCTGCCTGCAATGTTTTCCATCCCAATCCTTACACATTCTCCCTCACTGCCTCCAGGACTTTGTTCAGCCATCACCCCAGTGAACACTCCCCCAGCCATTCCATCTACAGTTTCAACATTGAGCCACTCCCTCTCCCCATCAGGCACATTAAGATCCATACACCCTTCGTACCCCCATTCCTTGTCCTCTTCTCCTCTTTAGAGCTTAACACTTCATAACACATTTTGCTTGTTTGTCTTGTTTAATTTTCAGTCTCCCCATCAGGATGTAAGTTCCATGAGGACAAGGATTTGGGTCACTTCATTCAAGGCTATGTCCTCCGTTATGCCCAGCGGAGTAACTGGCACTCAGTAGGTGCTCAAGAAATATCAATACTTGAATGACTTCTGAAGGCATCTTCTCCAGGGCAGCTGCCACGTTCAGTGTTCTGGTGTAAAAACTGGCTTACTTCAAGATGACTTCCCTGGACATACATACACAGATCAACACTTGGCTCAAAACACCTGCCCCACTTGGCAAAAACCCCACAGCCTCTGAGTCGTTCTGACCAAGGCAGGTTCTCAAACTTGGTATTGTAGTGGACTTTGTAGAAGAAACAGATCTCTAAACCCCCTGGAATTCCATCAGGGAATCCTCAGTATGAGAAACTTGAGCTAAAGTTTTGTACTGTTAAACTGTCTTTCAATTGATCCTGTGAAAAAGGTCTTTTAAGGTAAAATATGTTTTACTAAACTTTTTAGATTATAACCAAAATGAAAGTAGTAAATTTAAAATTTTTTATAAAACTTGTAGACCTAAGAAGAGACTCCAGACAGAGAAACTCTTTAAGATTCCAAGGCCTTTTAGAGACAAGAGTTCCTGGATCTGGGTGAGGCCCCTTAAAAGGAACTGGTAACTCATGGTAGCTACCTTTTTTTTCTTTTTAAACTGAGTTTTCTATATTGCAGGATTTAAAAAAATTTATTTTTAATTTTTTGGCCACACTGTGTGGCATATGGGATCTTAGTTCCCCGACCAGGAATTGAACCTGCGCCCCCTGCATTGGAAATGTGGAGTCCTAACCACTGGACTGCCAGAGAAGTTCCTGTATTGCAGGATTTTTAAGAGGATTAAATGAGAAAGTACATGGAAAAACTTTTAGTCCAATCTGCCATGCAGAGCCATGCAATGTTCACGTCTTCCTTGCTTTCTCCACATTCAATGCACTGATCCATCTGGACCTACAATTTCTACACATTTGTGTACTGTCTTTTTTCATTCCATTGTGCCTCAGTAGAAGGTCCCTCCAGCAATCTCACTTAGAAAACTACTTCCTACCCCGCAGGGCACCAAAAGGAAAGAGGCCAAGGTGAGATAGGATGGGACTTGGGGCAATTATGAACAATAAGATACAAAAACGCCACAAACCAACTGTCATTTCTGAGGTGCTGGGAGCAAAAGCAGGGTACTGGGCGTGCCCCCTGCACACAGCGCCACCAAGCAAGGGGGCAGACCACCTAAGCCACCCCTGCTTCCCAGCCCACCAATTCACCCCTACGCATTTAAAGGACCAGCTTGTCACCCTCCCCCACTTGGGGAGCGATCGAGGGCACCTGTTACTTGGTTTCGCTCCCTCGCGCTGCAGCATGAATCCCCAGTGAGGCCTTGCCTGAATTTCTCATCTGACCTCCTATCAATTTCTACTGATTAAAGAATCCAAGGACCCAGGTCGGTAACAAAGGCACTAAAATTGTGCAAATTCAGTGGTTTTCAGATTCATGCTTTTGGAACCCTTAGTTCAAATGAAATCTTTCTTGAAACCCTGACATTTCCTGGGTACTGGCAATTCAGGGCTGGGGCAGACAAGCCCCTGCCCTCATGCCATTCATGACCTGCTGGAGGAGATCCAACCTTACATACATACTGTAGGTGAGTGTGGCCACTGAGGAGGATCCGGGAAAGAGTTGCCCACTGCCAGGGCAGGTGGGCACAGTGGGAGACACAGCACAGGACACACCTTGTGTGCTGGTGGCTCCCAGGGCCCTCCTGTGTGAGGATGCTTGTTAAAAGTGCGAGTTTCCACCTCCCGGGATCGTGTTTCGGGAGGTCTGGAGTGGGCTCAGAAACGTGTGCGGCTTTAAATGCCCTGGTGCTTCTAACACACACCACCAACACAGGGAATTCTTATTAGCTAAATCAGAGCATTTACACTTTATCCGGAGGTCAGGGGATTTTAAACTTGGATCCGTGGTTCCTTTGACGGTTTCTGTAGACGTTTCGTGTGCTATTGAATACGCTGTATTTTTGCACATTCTACATTTAAATTTTTTTTTTTTTTGCGGTACATGGGCCTCTCACTGTTGTGGCCTCTCCCGTTGCGGAGCACAGACTCCGGACGCTCAGGCTCAGCGGCCATGGCTCACGGGCCCAGCCGCTCCACGGCATGTGGGATCTTCCCGGACCGGGGCATGAACCCACGTCCCCTGCGTCGGCAGGCGGACTCTCAACCACTGCGCCACCAGGGAAGCCCCATTTATACTTTTCTAGGGAAGAGAATCCATCACATTTCCAAGGAAGGAGTTGTTTCTCCTCATTCCTTCAGATGCAGACTTTACCATTCAGGTGTGCCTGTTGATGGTGCTGGGGAGAGCCCAGAATCTGTGTCAGGCAGAGGAATGAGATGGGTTTAGAGACACAGGGCTGGGGGAGTTCATTTGCTTAGGAACTAGCGACACAGACCCCATAGTGCACCCTTTGGAAAGCCCTGAAAGGACGATGTATTTGGGGCTGAGCTGGAAGAATAAGAAGGAAAGGAGGCAGCTGCAGGGTCGCTCGCAGGTCTACCACCAGCCTTCCCCGGAGAACTGGAGGCCAGAACTGGAGGAGGCAGGAAGAAATGGCAGGTCTTTGAATTTCTCCACCTTCTTGGGCAGAGGGGCCTCCATGGGGATCCATGATGCCGGATTGTTTATCGCCAGTTGGACCTCAGGGAACCAGAGGGAGCCTTATTCAGTGCCCTGAAGAGCTAATTAAGAATCACAATTAATTACTTTGTTGTATTCACAACAGAGGCTGAGGGATGAATTTCGTAGTTCCAGATCTAGAATCAGCTCCTCTCTGCCCCTCCATGCTCAGGTATTTGTCCAACAAGCAGATATCCAGACTGGACATGGGACTCTACCTCAGAGGGTCCCTTCTACACAGGCTCTCCTTCCAAAGCGTAGTAGCTAACATTTGGAAGTTTCTGGGGATCTGGCTCTCATTCATTTATTCAAGCAGGATTTGTGGCCCCTACTATGAACTCAGACAAATGTGGGGTTTGAGTAGGGTGATCATACAGAGTTGACCATTGAACAAAACAGGTTTGAACTGCATGGGTCCACATGGGCAGATTTTTCCCCACTAAATGAGCTCCAGAGCTACACAGTCCGAGGTGAGCTGAATCCCTGGATGTGAAACAGCAACTATGGAGAGCCAACTATAAGTTCTAAGTGGATTTTTTTTTTTTGATGTGGACCATTTTTAAAGTCTTTATTGAATTTGTTACAATATTGCTTCTGTTTTACGTTTTGGTTTTTTGGCCGCGAGGCATGTGGGATCTTAGCTCCCCGACCAGGGATCGAACCCGCACCCCCTGCATTGGAAAGCGAGGTCTTAACCACTGGACCACCAGGGAAGTCCCTATAAGTGGATTTTTGACTACCCGGGGGAGGGTAGGACTTAATCAAGTGGCCAGTTGACAGATCATTTTTGATGATAAATCACCATGCAATTTTGGGCACGCATCTCAGAAGGAATTCAGAGAATTGGATGACATCTCCTTATTTGTGTGAAAGGCTTCTCAGCATGTAGCGCTATAAAAATGGAAAAAGAAAATGATGCTGAATCCTGATTCATCCATAGATTCACAAATAATTAATTTCTTATCTGTTTCACTGAGATGTGTTTTCAGTATTTTCCTTTTTAGGTTTAACAATTACTTACAAAAATTTTTAATATCTATGTTGTTTTAATCAACTGTACATTATATTTTACATCAAAAATTAGTTGTAATAACTCAGTCCAGAAGCCTTTCTAAAAAACTCTTAGCATCTTTGGTCGCAGGAAATTATTTCAATTCCAATTTCTAAATATGTATTTTTGGTAGAGAAGTATGATAAGGTGAGCGATGAAAAACTTGCAACGGTAAAAAGTGCTGCATTAGCAAAAACAGTTCTGTAGGGGGAATGGAGTGAAAACATAGGTTCAAAGAGAAGAGGAACCGCCTAGAATTTCCAACTGTTAAAGAAGAGCAGGTTGTGGGTTTTGTTTTTTTTGTTTTGAAATAGATGAGTATGAAATCACTGCTGTGTTTGGATTTCATCAGATGTACTTTAAAGGGTTGGGGCAGTTTTATTTTAAAATGTAAATATTTACCAAATGCCAGAAATCACATCCCTCACAAGTTTTAAAACTTATGTGAAAAATATTAGATGTCAACTTAAAAATGTGCAAGATGGGACACATAATTTTTAAAAAATGGGGGAGGGGGCATACCTAGAGCAAAAGCCCTTTTGAACCCCAGCCTGATGGCTCCTCTGGCCCCTTGACTCCCACCTTCTCCTGGAGGGAAGGGTGGATGGAGGCCAGGACGGAGATGGCCCCGGCTGTGGCTCATGGAGACTGCAGTGTGGGGGAGGGGAGCTGCTCTACACTTCCCTCCAGATTCCAGAACAGGAACAGGCCATGGCCTGCTTGGGGAGCTGGGCCTCTCCTTCACGCTGAATTAAACGGCCTTCAGCTGGGGAGGAGGGGCAGCTATTGGCCTGGGCAAACGATACGGGACAGACCTGCAGGCACAGGCGGAGAGGGAGAACCGGCCCCAGGCCGGGGCGAGAGTCTCTGCAAATGCTGATGGACCCAGCCCACCGCCCTTGGCCCACACACGCCTTCAAACCTGAGGGGAGGCCGCGTTTCCACAGAGGCACAGTTTATTTCACAGACAGTGGAGATGTTGTTTCTGAAGGGGAGGCCGAAGCCCAGTCTCAGGTGTGGGCTGAGGGATTAGTTCCAGTCACCAAAGACGTACTTTGGTTTCTGCTATTTCTACCCTACTCCTTCTCCCAGCCTGTCGTCCCCCACGTGTCTCCTCCCCGTTTCGTCCTACACCGTGTATCTGGTTGGTCTAAGCGTGTACGGCTGCCCTGGCAACCTCTTCCTCCCCACCTGCCCCTCCCCAAGGCCCTGAATCGGTGGACTAGGCTGAGAAGAGGGCTCTCAGGAAAGGAGGCAGCATCCTTCCAAGGGTCCGAGGGGCAGGAGGATGGGGTATAGGTGAGGCTTCTCTAAGTGAGAGTCCCAGGGACGAAGCCAGTGGAATGAATCTTACTCCAGCTGCTGTGCCTCCCTCCAACTGCAGAGGGCGCCACAGAACTTAGAGGCAGAAGGCAGGGGGTGGGACCAACCATCACCCCGCCGCTGGTGGGAAGACCCTTGCCATGAGTGGGGCAAAGGAGCCCCAGGTCTGTCATGAACTAGCTGTGTGACTCGGGCAGACCCTCCCTGGCTCTGGGCCTCAGTTTCCTCATCTGTGAACAGGGCGACAGTGAGGATCCAGCCAGAGAGGCTGGTGTGGGCAATGCCTGAAGCCCTGTGACACGCTCTCCTCCGGGGGTTCCCGTGACTTCCCGGCTCAGCTCCCTCTCGCACTGAGACTTGGGGTCCAGCCGGCCCTGGTTCCCGAGAGCCCCTTGTGCTGCTCCATAGCCTCCCTCCTGCCGGCCTGGAGAGCTGGTCTCCCCCCTCCCTCTGCCCCATCAGAGCCTGCGCAGCCAGGGGAACCCAGAGAAAGGTGCTGGAGGAGGATGGAGAGGCTGTCCCGATGGTGGAGTGATGGGCGAGGTGAGGGTGCTGAGGGTCATACAGCGGCCGTCTGCTTGATGCTGTGGAAGCTGATCCGCGTGGGTGACGTGGGGATGGACACAGCCCGGGCCCCGGGGACTCGGAGGGAGTGATGGTCCTGCCAGCGGTGCCACTTCTTCTTCACAGCCGAGCGCACCTGCGGGGTTAGGAGGCGGCTCAACTGGGCCTGTGGAGGCCAATCCTGGGTCCCGGCCAGTCCTCTCCCCTGCTCCCTGCCCCTTGCAGGGCCACCAAGGGAGGCTGGGGCGGCCCCCCTGACTGCCAGCCTCACATCCAGAGACCGGCTGTTTCCAAAAGCAGGGTCCTTCTCACCTCCTCTGCAGCCCTGACCTCCTCTACCTCCTGAAAGACCTGCATTGCTTACCACTGCACACAGCTGAGATGGAGAGCTAGTCATTTCAAGACCTGACCGTCACTGGTGCTGTTCTATTCTCATTTGTATTGCAATGGAAGAAGTTTTTCTGCAAACTGGATCATGTCCCCCACAGGCTAGCCTGGCACATGGTTGAACAGAATAACTGTTCCGTAAGCATTCATTGTTTGCTTGCTTTAGTGGCTCCTCTCCCTGCCCTCCAGCACATGCCGGTCTCCACTGTTGGACTTTCCTATCTGGGGTCTGCTTTAATTGACAGAGACCCAGGCATGCAGACCCCACCATTGCCCTGTGCACCGGCAGGTGACGAGGCCTCAGGATGGCACTGGCATTCCTCTGGGGTGTCTGGAAGCTCTCGGGCCCTGGGAGGGTGTCTGCTCTTTGCCCCAGCACCCACTGTGTGTCCTCACCCACCACAGGCCTGAGTGAACATCTCCCCCAAGTCTGCCGCGCTGGGATTCTGGGCCTTGTAAGCTAACCAAGCTTCACCAGAGCCTGGCTCCCTGGAGCCCACCCACAGGCGTGTGGCCTTCCCTGGGCCGGCAGGGGACAGGAAAGGACGCGCTGGTGTCTTTCTGCTCCCTGGATCCATAAAGGCTTGGATGCATGGCTCGCACCTGACTTGCTCCTGGAAAGCGCTCTCCTGTCATCACCTGTGTTCTGGCTTCCTTCTTCTGTGAGCCCCTGTGGCCTGGGCTCCTGCCCACCCAGCTCTCCGAGTGCAATGAGAGAGTCGGTATATCGTTTCTGACCTGCAGAGTCAACCTTCTAAACTGGTTGGAGTCCCTCAGGCAGGATTCCTGTCTCCCCAAAGCTGGTTTCTCCAGACTTCCCCTCCCTTCTCCAGAGCAGAGCTGAGCAGAGCCAGGGATGCCCAAAAGGCTGGGGGGCTCCCCTCGAACTTCCCTGGAGTGGGGTCTGAGGACAGGCCTCCCGGGCCTGGTGTCATACCTCTCCATTGAAGAAGCAGTAGAAGACGGACACAAAGAAACCCTGGGAAGGAAGAGGGAGACGTCAGTGACCTGCTCAGGGAGCCACTCTGCCTGGGGGGTTGGGGGGTGGAAAGGGGACAGGATGACTGGGGGAACACTCTGACTCGGGACCCCGGAGGCCCAGAGCTGGGTAGGCACCCCCATCGTGGAGCAGGTGTACCGGGGTCCACCGCGAGTGACAGGCTGCCATGAGTCCTCAGAGCAGGGGCTGGGCCGGCAGGAGGTGCAGGCTAGGGTGACCCTGACCCAGTCGGGGGTGGGCCCACCTGGGCCCTGGGGTGGGAGTGACGGCGCCAGGGCCTGGGTTCAGGATGTGCACGCACTTGTATTTCAGTGCATACGAACTAAACCAAGCCAGCGAGGGCACGGGTGCCTGAGCACGCCAGGTCAGGGGCGCTCTCTGTGGCCGCATCCCACTACGTGCCCCACCTGGAATGACTGCAGGAAGGAGTTGAAATAGATGAACACGATCTGTGACAGCTCGTCCTCCCCAGGGCTGACGAAGAAGAGCATGTAGGTGACGCCCAGAAGGGGCAAGAGAACCAGGGTGGCCTTCACCGCCTTCCTGGGGAGGGGGGAAGGGTGATAAGACCCATCTGAGCCCCTGAGGCACGTGGGGCCTCACTCGCTGGCATCTCTTCTGGAAGCCTGAGCGAGGGCCCTGCCCAGAGGCAGGGGAATGGCCCAGATGGCCTCCTCATTCCTCCCCTGCTGAGGGTCAAGGCACCCATCACTCACCTGTACTGGATCGTCTCCGACGTGGTGGATGCTCGTAACTTTGTCATTAGGATCCTGACGATGTTGAACAGAAATACAAAATTGATCTGGAGGGACAGGGGGCAGAGAGGGAAAAAGGAAGGACCACGAGGTGGGGATGAGAGGAGAGGCAACCACCTCCCCTGTAACCCACTGAGAATCCATGTCCCACCCCACTCACCCCAGCACCTGCCTGGGGTCCCAAGACCTCTGCTCCTCCCTCACCGGGGCAGGCAGGTACCCCACTTGCCGGGTCCCCTGTCACCTGAGGACTCCAGAGCCTGCTTCTCCACACCCTGACCCGAGGGACGAAAAGCAGCCTTGGAGGCAGTGCACAAGGGCGCAAAGGTCACTCCTGCCTGAAGCGCCCAGGGCTCTGCCCGGCCCGCCCCCGCTGCTGCAGGGCCCCCACTTGTCAGCTGAGGGTCTCCCTGAGGCCCTTTGGACAGAGGACAGCCCTGCCCTGGCGGAGCAGCCCCGGCCAGATGGCGGGATTAATAACTCGGTTGCTGGGGGGACTGATTAATCTCTCACCATTCGTCCCCTGCACCCAGGAAAACTCTAGATTCTTCGCAGACACGCCCGAGGCAATGGACATGAACAGGCTGCTGGGCTGACTCCAGCAGTTGGCTCCTGGAAGGGCCTCATTTATCTTCATTCTGAGCCTTCTCTCAGCATCGGAGCCTGCCGCTCCCAGCCTCTCCCCGGGACCTGCCCGTGTGGCCTCCCGGGGCAGCCCTGTGCTGCATGTGGTCTCTGTGGGTGTGCAAGTGTCCTGTTAACCCGTGTCGGCTTGTCTGTGGTGTGCCTGTGTGCCGCCTTCTCCATGCTCCCCGTGGGTCTGTGCTCTGTGCTCTTGTGTGTTTGCCTTGGTGTGTTCCTGTGTGAGTGTGGACCTGGGGACATGGCCACACCTGTGTCTCTCTTCATCCATCTCCAGGTGCGAGTAGACAGGAAAGTGAGTGTTGTATACCTAGCACCCTGGGGATCTCTCACAGGAAAGTACCCATGTGTCAGAAGGAGATACGTATTAGCCCAGGGGTGTCTGCTGGCTCACGTGTGTGCACATGTCTGAGTATGTGCGTGTGTTTATGCACACACACACACACCCCTCCCAAGTCCTGGTCCTGAGACTCCGTCATTTCTGGAGCCTCCTAAGTTCTGAGGCTTGGGGACACAGGCAGACATCACGGGACACACATCCCTGTGGCCTCTGGCTCACCCCTAAGCTTGAGGATTCTCTGGGGCCCTGGGGGGCTCCCTCCTCAGCCACAGCCTGCTGTTCCAGTGACCACAGTAACACAGCCTGGTGAACCCAGGGTGAGGGGTGGTGGAAGCATTCAGCCAGGGCTGCCTACGGCCTGCTGCACCTTGCTTCCTCTTAAGGCCTATCTAATTTCCAGCTCCTGGGTTTCTGGTCTATTCCCTTGGATCATGAGGTCACTTTAACACATAGGCCGATCCTAATTTTCTCATACAAGTGATTCAAAATACTTGACCTTTTCCGATTCTTCATGACTTCTGTGAGAATAGAGGTTGTTGGAGTCAAAATATATTCTCATTTCTTCCACATTTCCCTGCATTAAATCTTATTCGCTAATCACCCATAAACCCACTAACCAATTCACTCAGTTATCCACCCACTCTTATCCATCTATCCATCCATCCATTAATCCATCCAAATATTACTCAACCATCCATTCATTACTTTATCTACCCACTCTCCCACCCACTTATTTAACACGTAACATTCATCCATCCATCTAAATATCTACTCAACATTCCATTCATCAGTTTATCTACCCACCCACCCACTCACCCACTTATTCAACAGGTAACGTACATACATCCACTAACCAGCCAACCACCCATCCATCTAGTCAATAAGCAATTGCTGAGCACCTCTGGGCTACAGGGCGCTGTTCCACGTGCTGAGGCAAGAGCAGGGACAAGGGCTGGTGTGGAGGGTCTGGGAGACAAGGCCTTATGCCCTCTGCTCACCCTAGGCAGGAGCTGGTGATGCTGCCTACACCCCACCTCAGGCTGGTCTGTGCAGCCCCAAAGTCACTCTTTCCTTTTGGGCTTGGTTCCCAGCTTCTCCCTTTACAACATCTTCTCCACCTCACTTCACTGCAGGCACCTTCCTCCCTTCCCCAGGCAGCCGCTGACACCGCCCTCCCACCTGGTTTCCAAACCCTCCCTGTCTGCGCACGCGCAGAGGCGGGCAGGGCGGGAGGAAGGGGGACTGACATCTCTTCCTCCTTGGCTTCAGACACGGTTCCTCCTGTCCTTTAAACCCAGGCTGGGAGAGGTAGTCCCAGCCCTTGGGAGTGTCCTCTGCTCCCCTCCAGCTCTGGGCATTGGGGTGCTGCCATCACATCTCAGCTCCTTGTAGCGCACATTCACCAAGCCCAGCAACACAGCCAGCCTGCTTGTCCACCTGGATCTGTGGAGGCTAGTGAGTCTCAAAGGCCCAAGTCCTGAGTCCTACTGCGTTCAGGGCCCTGGCTGGGCCACAGAGAAAGCCCAGACAACTCACATCCCTGCTCACAAGGCCCCTGGACACCAGGGTTCTCCCACTAGAGTATGCACATCAGAGGCGCTTGTTCCAAATGCCGCTCTTGGACACACCCCAGAGATTCCCGGTGGCAGGTGGGGGCCCTGGGATCTACATTTGGAATAGGGGCAGCCGGGATATTGCTGAGGAAGACATCACCCATGGAACAAAGAGGCAAGGCTTTCACCGGACAGACCTCATGTGCCACACACCATTCATCTGTAGCTGCAGGGGACAGTTCTCAGCTTGGGGCTTTCTCTGGTGCCAGAGGAGCTAGCTCAGCCTGAAAATGGGGAGAGGGTAGCTGGAAATGTGGGGATTCAAGGTCTCCAGGGCAACCTCCACTGATGGGGCATGAAGCATATGGGTAAGTAACCCTGCTTCCCGACCAGGGGTCAATTCTGAGACTCTTCTATGTGTTGCCCCATGGAAGCCTGCTTATCACTTAACCTTTATCGGTTTCCTCCCTTCCTTGTCCTCTACTCCCACCCCTCGTTGTGTTTCCTGGGACCACCTCCCACATGAACATCTGGCGCCAAGTCCTTGTCGCATGGCTCTAATTCCAGCTATTCCAATTGGCATCTGCGTGGCCTTGGGCAAATTACTTAATTAACGTTTCTGAGCTTCTGCTTCCTTGTCCGTCCAGTGGGGATAGCCATGGAGCCCGTCTGGGAAGGTTGGCACAGGTTCAGATACTCATGGAAAGCACTGAGCTCATGCCCTTCCCACGCCATCAACAGTGACAACAGTCTCCTGCAAACCCAACCAGCCAACTCACTTCCCAGAACCCAGAAATGAGCACGGGTCTCTCAGACAGCTGTGGACTGCTGGGGGAGTCCAGGGGTGGCAGGGTATCCAAAGGAAGGGATGGCGGGAGGTGGTGGGTAACCTGCCCTCCAGTCTCAGCTCGGCTAGCTATTAGTGATGACCTTGGGCAGCTGTTTCATCTCCCAGGTTCTTCATCTGTGAAACGGGGAGCATCATCCCTACTTCCAGGCATCGAGGATGTGAGGATTGGAAGTAATGAAGATAGAGCTTCTGGAAGGGCTGAGCTTGGAACCTGGAAGCCCTGTCCATGCATATAGCTGGGTGTGGACCGGGTCCAAAGGGAAAGACAAGCACGGGGCTCTTGGTGAGGGTGGAACCGCAGAAGGGGGCATGGAGAGGAGGTGGGAGTTGGGTATTGTCACTGGGCCTTCCAAGCCTGTCCCCCTTCTCTGTTCATTTCCTCACTGCTGTCCAACATCTTTGCAGAGGGGGCTCGCTTCCCACCCAAGCCAGCCTTCCTTGGCTGAGTCCCAGGCTCGTCAGAAGCCCTCTCCCTCCAGGATGGGCTCTCAGCAGCTGGTAGGGAGGGGATGGGTCTCATAGGGTTTCCGCTCACACTGGTAGAGGGGGGAATCAGTGACTCATTGCAGCTAGGACTCCAAGGACAATGATTCCCCCTTCTGACTGCTGCCAAGGACTGGCTTCTATCTCTGAAATGAATGGAGCCCTGATGGTGGACTTTCAGGCACTGGGTAAAAAACCTTCCTAGTCATCGCCAGTTCGTATACATCAAGGACACTCCAAAGATGGGGGGTCAAATGAATCCCTGAGGAAATTACAAAAAGGAGGAGAGTAAGGAAATAAAAAGAGATAAACAGTCATTGTCTCCAAGGTAGACCAAAGAAACCCCCATTAGGCACCTGCTGTGTGCAAGGGGGTGGTGCTCTCTCAAGCTTCGCGCACTGGGAGCAGGTGGCCCTTTAAGGAGCCTGAAATTAACAAGCCTGAAATAAGTCTTACGTAAATGCCAGTTTCTTATGGGGCTTTTTTGTATGTCTATTTTTTTTAGCGTATGATATATAATGGGTTCTTTTTTTCTGCAGAATGCAGCCTGGACTTAAAATCTACCTTAATTAAAGCTCGTTGTGGTTTAGAGACGTGGCGGCAATTATACCTTAGATGTTAATACATTTGGCAAAGGGCAGGGAGCTGGATGAGGAATAATTGCTCATTACGCTTCCTTTGTCCCACTGCTCCAGGCTGGGGGCGGTGGGCTGGGCCCTGGAGGGGGTCGCTGCGGGTAGAGGGAGAGCAGGTCTGGGGTGAACAGAATCCCGCGGACCCTTCTCTTGCCACCAGCTGCCCTCCTTGCCTGGCTTGTACCTGGCAAGGGGATGTCAGATGTCGGAGGCATTAGAAATCTGCCAGTCGGATTTTCTCTGCCCAGAACCTGAGGGCCAGAGAGGGGAGAGGGCTGAATCAGGGCGTGGAGCGCGAGGAAGGGAGAGCTGGGAGCGGGATGGCAGGCAGCGGGGGTGGTGCATACAGAGTGTGTGCGGGGGCACCGATCCAGACCCTGTCCCTCCCCAGCATCTCTGCTGGGTGGGTCCTCTGCTGTCCTCCTGGTGCCCAGCCCTGTCCCACTTCCCACTGAGGACCTACCAAGAGCACGAGGATGATGGGGCCCTGGTAGATGTAGTCCACCAGGTCGCCGGGCTCCTTGCCAAACCAGCACCTGCAAAGATGGAGTGGCTGTAAGTGGCCTGCTGAACCACAGCCTGGGGACCACTGCAGCCTCAGGGCCAGGGTCCTCTGTCTTGACTCTTTCTGAGATCCAATCTCCATGGCTGTTCCTTCCCCCGAAGCCTGGGTGGACAGCCCCAGCCCCACTGACCACCCTGGCTCATACCTGGGCTGCCTTTTGCCCTACATGGAGGGTCTGGTCTCCCCAGGCAGGCTGAGGCAGGCCCTGGGTCTCCTCCCCCTTCTCCTTGCTCCCTCACCCCATCCCAGGATGCTGGGCATGCAGGAGGCTCATGAAAGGAGAGCTGGGCTCCCCGTCACTGGCCAGGGCCCAACTGCCTGTACCACCTGTTCCCACATTGCTTGGAACCCGCCTCTCCTTGTGCCAGGCACTCAGACGCACAAAGCAGCAGATGTGGAGGCAGGAGCCTTCTCCTAGCCCGATCCCTGGCCTCATTCACCCAGGGAAGGAAGCTTGCTGCTGTTAGAGGCTTGGTTATTCTTTGGGGATGCTGGGGGTGAAGAAGCTTCAGGGTCTGGAGGAAGGGCTGGCCCAGGACCCAGTCTGGCTCTGCCAGCAACTCCTACTGGACCTCAGAAAGGGCCCCACAGAGTTCAGGAAATTCTGTGTCTTCTGCAACTTCAGAGGTCATCCAGTGCACATTGCCTCAGGCAGGATTCTCCCCTGCAGCCTCCCAGCACTGTTCTTTTACTTTTCTTTGCTTAAACACCCCCTTTGATGGGAAGCTCACTACCTCTCAAGGCAGCCCTCTCACTCTTGGGCAGCTTTTATCGTTAGGAGCTCTTCCTAATGTTGAGCTCTCAGAACCCATGCCATTCCTGCCCCCTGCCCCCAGATCCCATCTGCTCCCTCCATCCTCAGTGACCCCTTGAATATTTGTATACAGATACTGACGTTCCTCTGTCCCCCCTTTTCTCAGCTGGTGGCACTCAACTTCCCCGCCGTTCCCTGGCTGACCTGCAGCTAGAATTGCCATCATCTGGGCCGAGGCCGAGTATTTCAAAGTCTCTGGTGCAGAGAGGGGCCCAGCACGGAACACTGCACCCCAGGAAGAGACTGGGATGCCAGAATAAAACAAGCTTCCACTGGCCTGGCCCGGGCATCTGTGAGGGGCTCAATACCACAGCTGGAGGTGCTCTGAGCTGAAAGCCTGGAGCCAGACTTGCCACATCCAACTCCAGGAGGCCGCCTTACCAAAGGCTAAGGGGGTCGTGCGTTGGGTGCTTAAAGGAACGGTTCCTAACTCAGTTCAACAAAGTTGACTTGACACCTATCGCATGAGTACCTCTGGGTGCCAAGGAAATGTTCTCAATTTAAGGACAATGGAAAAGTGAACTGTCCTGGCGTGGCTGCAATTCTTGCCCCGTGGCTGACCTGTCCTAACATCCCTCTGAGCCCCATGGCTGGCCTGTCCTTACTTACTGTTCATTCTCATAGTAGAGTTTGCCAATGGCCCAGGCGATGATGATGGGGCAGGGGATGCCTGAAAGAAGGACAGACACAGCTGCAGTGGACAGACAGATGGTCAGGAGCCCCTCTTGTAGAACACAGTGTGGGGAGGAACCACAAAGGGCTAGGATCTTGTTTCCAATCGTCTAACTGCAGGCCATCCATGACCTTGAGGGGCCCTGTCCCTAGACCCCTGCCCCCATCCCTCCCTCACTCTCAACCATCCCCTCCAAGCAGGTCAGGGGACAGCGTGATTTTCTGAGATTTTTTGATAGAGAAGTGGAGCTGGCCAGCTTTTCTTTTGAAGCCAGAGACAAAGGTCTTTGGATTGGCCATTCCAGGCAGGAAGAGGAAGGCTATTTGTGGACTGTCCTTTCAGAGGGACTATTTGCTTCTTCCTCTCCAGCATGGAGGGGAGTGGCTGCATCCTCGGACTGTCCTGGGGATGGTAGACAGGAATGCGGTCCGGTCCTTGGACCCAAGATGAAGGGAGGTGACCCTGTCAGCAGTACCCTCTCCCCACTAGACCCTGCAGGTCCCCCCAGGACCCTCACACCATCCAATGAAGAGGAAGAGCCGCTTGCGCAGGCGATCGGTGGAGTAGGTCATGACGATGGCCGTGTGCAGGTAGCAGCCCTCCACGAACATCCAGAAGAAGTTAGTCACCACGAAGTAGTTGAAGCTGGTGGTGATGCAGCGGCACCAGACCTGCGCGTGGCAAGCAGCAGTCAGTGGCTGCCTGGGGCCCAGGCCCAAGTGCACAGCTTGGGCGCTGATGGAGGGGAGGTCGTTTGAGTTGAGTCATGGACATGGCATTAAATACCCTTGAATCTCATTCTGGGAAGCTTCATCCTTTCTCTTCCACATTTTCCAGAAAGTGCCAGGCTCCCCTGGTACCAGGGGGTCTGACTTCTCACCAGTGTTTTCTAATCTCCTTTTTCATAAAAGAAAGAGGGAGTCTGACTCTGAGATTTTTGCAGGGAGAGGCTAGAATTGAACAGCACTGTCGTGTTTCTCCGTCACTTTTTTTTTGAGGGTCACCTTCACTTCACAGCGAGTCAGACTGGTTTCCGTTTCGGGATGGACTATGAAATTTCATGTAGAAAAAAATTAGTGAGTCAATGAAAAGAAAATTGTTATTGAACTAATACAGGGTCTGTGAAGGTGAGCTGCAGCGGTGGAGGTGATCCTCCCAAATCTCTGGGTTTAGGAGATTCTGGGCTTAGTGTCATCACGGCCGTCTCTGGAGGGAGACTTCCTTACACCGGGACCTCGGGCAACTGGCCATACCTCTCTGAACCTCATCGTGCTGCAGAGAAAAGAATAATCCCATCTTGCAGGTTGGTTCAAGATGGAGGTGGCAAAGGCAGGCGCCAAGAAATGAATGTTGGTGCCATTTGCCTTCTCAGCTGAGGGGAATTTGTCCCTGTCCCTCTGAGCACGGTTACTACCCCTCCCTCAGGGGACAAGCCTGCCCAGAGCCACCTTGGGCCACGGCCAGGTCTGGCCTCAGGCCAGAGCTCTTCTCAGCTGACCCTACCTGGCCATCTTCCCCAGGGGTTCGTCACCAGGGCACCGTCAGAGCTGAGGATGTGGGGATTGGTGGTTAGAGGAGCCCTGTGATAGGGAGCTGACTGTCCTCTTGGACAGCTCAGCGCCTCTCTGTCCGGATCTAACAGCCGGGCTGTCGGGCAATCAATCAGCTGAGCTGATCACAGCCTCCGTGACTTTCCTCCATGGTCCCAGCCCTGATCTCGGGCCCCACGTGGCCATCTGTCTCCTCTGTTCTGAGAAAGTCCTGCTGAGGTGGAATGCGAAAGATCCCCTCCTCCCAATCTTGTTTTTCCTCCAAGTTAACGATGCCTTGTCAGTACAAGCCAACATTGGGCTGCAGGGCACCCCAAACTGACTGAATTCCGTTGGTGCTGTGGCAGGGCTCAACATGGGGCCAAGTGAAGCGTCATACCAGGCTGGGTGTGTGCTCAGGTCTAGCCATCCAAAGACGATGTACTGAAGAGTCTCTAATGGTGGGCCAAAGAGCTCTGCGCATGGCTCCACTCTGGGCTCTGGTTTTACGACTAGGACACGGCGCAACAGTGGCTGACACAAATCCACCATGGGCAGCGAATGTGCTGGCCTGCTCAAGACCCTGGTGGCCCAGATGTAGAGGCATCATTACAGTGCCATCTAACCTCCCTGAACCTCAGTTTCCACGTCTGTATAATGGGGGCGAAATCCCTACAGGTCTCTCATTGGAATGAATTGCTCTAAAGCTCAACAGAGGTTAATTTCAGCCTCCTTTTCTCTAAGGAATCTTTGGGAGGTGCTAAAGTCACAAGATGGGGAGTGCAACAGGATAACCCAAAGCCTGCTGTCAGGTTTGTGCTGCTCCCCAGACCCCGGCCTGGAGCCCCATTTCCCCACCCCTGGCTATGGAGGGACAATGATTGGGTGCAGGTGAGCTCAGGTTCGGGTCTGCACGCGAGGACTGGGCAAGAGAGATGGGGGACCCCAGAGCCCAGAGCCCCCCAGGTCCGGCCCCAAACCTCTACCCAGAGACCTCATTGCTCTCATGCACTTCATGGTCGATGAGCTGCAGCAGGAACCACGTGACATTTCGCAGGATAAATGTAGTGATGAGGTTCCAGTGAATCACGTTCCGCAGACAGCGGATGCTCCTGCGGGAGGACCAGGTCAGGGGTCAGCCGGGACAGGCTGCACCTGGGCTCAGAGTTCAGTTGGGGCAGGGGGCAGGGGGCAGCTGGCGTCATGGGTCAGCTGGGCCTGCGCCCCCTGCCACCCCCTCCTCAGGCAAGGGAGAGACTCAGCCTGGGGTGAAGGCAGGGTTGCACCAGGAACCAAATTCCCATTTGTGGTGACCACGGTTGGGTCTTCCAGAGCTGGCTCCCTTTTTGCCTCCGGCATGCCCGCCAGCGGTCAGTGCCCAGGCACCTCCCCAAGCCCTTTTTGTCCGTTGGCTCCAGGGACCCCGGAGAGGAGCTGAGAATGGGAGAGGTGAAGTGGGTGCTGTGGGAGGAGGGCAGAGAAAAAGCAGGGGCGGGGTGGACTCACCGCAGGGCCAGGAAAAGCAGGAAGGCAGCCACGAGGGCTGCCACAGACACGCAGTGGCCCAGGTAGTTGATAATGAGCGCGATGCGGTAGTGCAGGTCATACTTCCTCTGCTGGACACACAGACAGACACACGGGCAGACAGAGGCTTGGGGCATGTGGAGGGTGGGGCCAGGCACTCTAGCAATGGCCACCCTGTGCGTCCTGACCCTGGGGGCAGAAGAGGCTCCAAGTGTCACCACCACACCTGGCACCCAGAGCTCCCTCCTGTCAGCCCTGCGTGGCTCTTGGTATAAATGGCTGTGGTCAGGTGTCCCCTGTGCAATTGGAGGGCAGATCTGAGCACAATGTATTCTGAGTTATGCCAGAGATATGGGTATGTAGATCCTATTTTCTTTTTAATTCTGGAATGGGAGTTGCTACAGCTGTGTTTCATCTCAGCTCACACCCTAAAGGGCTGAGCAACTGAGGGTGTATTGATTTATATCTCTGGGACTCAGTTTTGATATCTGTACAATGGAGCCAACCTGTCCTCCTGTCTCAGAAGCAGCGACCTATGGCAGGTCTGGGGGTGCCTTGGGATCAGTCTGCCCTGGGTGCAGCAGTGAGGGGGTACCTTATCTGTAGAGATTTTAAGAGCAATATTAAGACCAAATAAAATCAGTCTGCTTTTTATTATCACCGCATGCTGGCAATTCTGAACAGAGGCAATGATAAAATACTCCTTCCTGCCAGGGCAGACTATCCCGCCACCCCACACCGCTTTGGTTTGCCACTGCTCAGAGGGGCTGTGAGACGAAGGTGACGGCAGAGGGCAGGAGGGGACCTCTTTCTCTCCTTTATGGCCCATCCCACTTGTCACTCTTGTGGCCCTCACTGCAGGCCCCTTTGGCTCGCATTTTGTAGAATCACTTTCTCAGGGCAGACAAATGTTTTTCCTCTGAACTTGGACTTCTTTTGGGGAAAAGTTTCAGCCCCGCTGGGGGCCGTAATGGGCAAAGGAGGAGAGGGATGGGGTGGGATGTATCATTTGGTGTCAGGAACGAGGCGAAGCTTCAAGAGGAAGGAGGCTGGCACCGCAGATAACACGGAATCCAGCACCAGAGCAAGGGGGGCTGGTGAGGTCGGAGTGGGACCCAGCTTCCCGTGGGGACTGCCCTTCCGGGGGCTGCACTTGTTTCCACGTGGAGTCATAGAATCAGAATGCCAGACGGGGAAACTGAGGCCCAGAGGAGGAAGGAAGTCACACTGCCTGTTAGATGTCGGTGCACTGGTTACAGGGTCATCCCCTTCTCGTGCCATGTGCCACCTTGCTGGTGTCCTCCACCAGCTGAGCTCGCCTGAAAGTGAGCCTCTACGTCCCCTTCTCACAGGGCAGGGGGCATAGGGTGGTGGCAAGAGGTGCAAGAAAGGGGGGGGTGACACAGGACCGGTTCTGCCACCCTTGGCATCCTCTGTGCTCTGAGTCCTACTACCTGTACAGGACCAGGGGTGAGGCAGGTGGGAGCCACTCACCTTATCATCCAAAATGGGCTCACACTGTGAGTAGTTGATCCGTGAAGCCCAGGTCCCATTCTCCAAGCACTCTCGGTAGGCACTCCCTACAAAAGATGCACCAAGAGGCGGGCCACTCCCCTCCTCAAGAACACTCCCTGGCTCCCTGGTGCCCACAGGATAAGGTCCCTATGTCTCAGCCTCTCTAGGCCGGGAAACGCGTCCGAACGTTCACGTGAAAGTCATTCATGTGAAAAGTGCACAGAAGCCTTACCACTCATGGCAGCTAAAAGGCATGATAAAACCCATTTTTGATACAATTTTTGACTAGCATTTTGTACACTCCCTTTAATTTTGTTTGAAGCTGAACCCCACTGTGAGCCCTGGGATGTGGCTGAAGATTCACTGCTTTCAGCATGCCGAAGAGTTTCCATCCTAATCGCAATCATTTTATGCTCATGAGATCCATACTTTTCCCACCAGTCAGCACTTCCACTTTCACCATAGTCACTATTTATACAGCAGGCGTTTGCCCTGTACCAGGTCCTCTTCTAAATGCTTTGTTTACACTCGTCCATTCAATCCTCAGGCAACCCCATGGAGTAGGTACTGAGATTAACCCATTTTACAGATGAGAAAACTGAGGCACAGGGAGATCAAGCAGCTTGCCAAGGATACAAAGATGAGAGGGTCCAAACCCAGAAAGTCTGGCTTCAGGGTTTATGTTCCTAACCCCTAGGCTACTGAGTAGTGGTACGGGAATGACAGCAATATGGGGAAACAGGACTGCGCTGCTGACCTTGAGCTGCGGCTGCCTGGGAGACCACCATGTGATCTCTAAATGTTTGAGAACCTGGCTCTGTGTTAAAGTTGGAATGTGATGTGGGAAAAGACATTTCAGAGCATCAGTGTCTGATGTACTGAAGTGAGGGTTTTATTGAAGGGAGACGTATGAAGTTCAAGGAATGCCCATTTTCTTTAAATCCTAGTTTGACTGTCAAGATCTAGCTCCTAAGCCACGCTCTCCAGGTAGCCCATCGTCACTTCCAGACAGAGGAATGCCTCACACCTGATAACTCCAAAGCCCTCTGCCAGCCTCTGCTGTGCATTTCGCTGTCTTATGTACCCTACCTCCCCCGCTTACTTACAAATTCTAAACGATCTATTGTTTGGGGATAATTTGTACCAGCGTTCTGCTCTCTGGCTAATGGGCAGTTGTTTGTGGATTTTTCTTTTGGGCTTACGTTAGAATCACAATATAAAGCTAATTTTAAAAAAACAGCTCACAGAGTACAGAGTCACAGAGCTGAAGGGGAAACCTTAGATTGTTTTTGGAAGCAATGAGTTCTGAAATAATTAAGTTACTTTAAAAATCCACTTCCGCTGAGCTAACAGTGAGTTAAAAGCAATGGAGTTATGAAGGAGCACTTGCTGAAGAGCAGAAACAATGGGGGAGATTCTATTAGCCTAATTGTTTTTTAATTTGGTGCTCTGAGCTTATAGATTTTTCAAATTCGGGATTTTTACTGGCCTATTCCTGCCTCCTGGGCCTGTCACCTGTCAGCGAGGCCTGCCTCCGGCAGGTCCCTGGCCCAAGTGTGAGTCAGTCAGGCCTATGCTGGTCTGACACCGACTCTGACCCCAATGAGGACACTAGCTCCTAGCCTCTGACCATGGCACCCAATTCCCCACTTGGGTTTTCTCCCTCTACAGGATTGTTTTACTACAGGTTGTGTGTTAAGAGAAAGAAAGAAAGGTTGTATGTTAAGAGAATTTGATGCATAGGGTCAGTGATGTTACTGAACTAAAGGACAGAGTATGGAGTGAAACCAACGGGACCAATGTAAAGGCATTTTGGGAGGGTGGGTGATTTTGTAAAATGAACAGTCCCACCCTAATGGGGATTTAGAGTCCTTCTCAACAGGCCTGTGTGAGGTGAGACAGACCCTGATCCTGGCTATGGTTCAAAGGGCAGAAAAATTTATCTTCTGTGAATGTGTTCCCAGATGTCATCTAGCTTTTCTGAAGTCAGTGCTGAGCTCCTTCCTCCAGGAAGGCCTCTTTGATTGCTTGCATCTCACGAGTCTCTTTCTCCTGAGCCTCCCAACGCCCCCAACCCTCTCAGTCCTGACAGCCCGAGCCCCACATTCCAGCCCTCGCTCATGACCTGGCCTCAGTTGTTCAGGTGGGTGAGTCTGGTGTCTCACATCAGTGTGGGGCTCCCTGAGGACAAGACCTCAGAACACTCATCTCCCAAGTATGATATCTTGTGGTGGTACTGACCATGGGGCGGGCTTGCGGAAAGGAGTGGGTCAGGATAGAGATGCTGCAGATCTGAGACCTTTCTGGTCCCTCACATCAATGCCCCTGGGGTACCAAGCTCCATGGATTCTGTCTCCTCTTTCTTTTTCCGGAGTCCATCTCTCTCCTGCCCAGCCTTCCACCCACTCTCTAGTCACCTTGCACTGGCACAACACCCTCCTATCTTGCCTCCTGGCTTCATCTCTTGCCCCCCGGCTTCATCTCTTGCCCCCCTCGACTCTCTATCCTTTACCCCCACTGCCAGAGTGATCATGCTGATTTCTGAATAAAAGTCATCAGCAGCTTTTTATTGCTCTTGGGAATAAAGTCCAACTTTCTTGGTGTGCTATTCAAGGCCCTTGACACCCGGGCCCCAGCTGAACTTTCCTGACCCATCCCTACCACTCCACATGGCAGCTGACCTTTACACCAGCAGGCCTGGCACACACCGAGCTCCATACCGAGCCACCCCCCGCACTCTCGCCCTTTACGCATGCACATATTCCTACAAACTCCTACTTATCTTTTAAACCCCAGCTCTAATGCCACCTCCTCCTGGAGGCTTCCCCAACACCCAAGGTATTACGTAATCTCTTCTTTTTCCCTCTAAACACCTCCTCTATGTCTTCCCATCTCTTGAAACATAGGTCTTCACACTCTATTGTCCTTGAACTACAGCCACATATCCATTTCATGCCACAGTCCGGTACACACACACACACACACACACACACACACACACACACACACTGCTCACATGACTGAATCCAGTTTCACAAAGTGAAATTTATCTTGACCACAGCTATAATGTTTTTCTTTCTATTGCATTCTAATGAATTATATTTATTCTATATACAAATACTAGTCACAACCCACTAAATTTACTTCACAATCCACTATCGTACAACATAGTTTGAAAAAGAAAAATCTCTTTTAGAGCATTTGCCGTAATTCACTATGAGTCTCATCTCTTTAGAATTGATCCTTCTTTTCTTTGCTACTGAACTTGGGCTCCCTGGGGACAGACAAGTAGGAAGAAACCATATTGGAGTCAACAGTTCCCTCCTCAGGAGTGAGCCATTGAGCATACGTGGGCTGAATCAAACTGACTCAGGTCTGTTGAAACCCTGGAAGGCAGGGTCTGAGATGTGGGATGTAGTGGTGGGAGGGAGCTTCCCTCTGGGGGCCCAGCCATGCCTGGGAATGAGGCTCTGGCTATAGACACTGGGTACCAGGGGACTGGAAGAGAGACGTTCCCAGCACTTCAGGGGAGCTGGCTAATGAGGACACTGCGCCCTCAGGCACAGCCTTGGACAGGAGAAAGTAAGACAGGAAGAGTCCCCCCTGGGACCCACAGGAAGATGCGCACAGAGAGTCTGAGGGCAGATGGTCAGGCCAGAATTGTGGGGATGGATGTAGTGAGGTGGGTGCCTGTTACCACAGCAACGCAGGCGCCTCCGCTGAAGATCGATGCCAATGGTGTGCAGTGTAGTCTGCCAGGGGCATTAGGGTCTGGGTGATGCAGGCAAGGTCTTCTCTTCCAGAGCTCTGTGGTCTGGGAAGCCTGGACTCTCCTGCAGCGCGCCCTGGCCTGTTGAAAGCCCTCATTACAATGTGCTCTGTCCCTTTCAGATGCTGACACTTTGACAAGAGCTTCTGATTTGGGCAGTCACCTGAGAGGTCCAGGAGCCTGGCTGGGAGAAGATGGAAGCCGAAATTCTAGCTGTAATTTTGTCTCTGGCTGATTAAGTGACCTTGGCTAAGTCCCGTCCCTCTCAGCCTCACTTTCCCCACTCATAAAAAGTAATGTAAACCGCTTCTCAGTGATGCTACTGGCATCTCAGGTGGGTCAAGTATTTGTTGTGTGGACCTAGCTATCTCCTTCCTGTCTGGCTTCCTTTTCAATCTGCTAACTGCCAGTAGTACCCTCAAGCCACTGTGACAACCCCAGACATCCATACATCACTTTTAAGCGCTCCCGAGGTTGGCACTTCTATCTCTGATAGTCGAACTGGCAATATATGGGAGATGGGGACCATGAGGGACCCCATTTTTTGGGGTGGTTATGAGGGAGAGAGTGCCAGAGACAGGCTGGGCATAGGGATGAGTGGGAATGTGGTGGAGGAGAAGCAATGTCGTCATTGGCTGTCGGGAAAGAAGATGACAAGAAGTGAGGGTGGGAGGGTGCTGACAGGGTGATGGGAAGGGCCAGAAGCAATATTTACCGAAGGGATGAGGTCATGTGCAGCACTGAAATTTTCAGCACCACGGACAGCAAAATGCTACCACTGCCCACTTCCCACCATGAACGCAGGTGGGGAATCTTGGAGAGAGCCTAAGACTTACCCCTCCCCGCTCTGCCCATTCAGCCCATAGCCCTGGGCCCAGGCCAAGAAGGTCAAGATAATCCATGACCCTCTTCAATGCCCAGCTTCAGTCCTAGTACCTCCAGGTGCTTCCACGACTGCTCCAGCCCCTGGAGGGTCAGCTGCTCACTTCTCTTAGCTCATGCTGGGTCGGTATTGTTCTCTCACTGATTTCTGTAAAGGGGTCATGCCTTCCCAGCTAGCTAAGGAGTAGGGGTGGCAAGGCCTAGGTCACCTCTGGCCCCTTCTTAAGGGCTACACAGAGCTGCGCACACAGGGGCTCAGGATGGACCGAGGTGGTGCTGTGGTCTAGGTTACCGGGGAACTCCAAATGAGAATGAGAGGCTCAGGGTGGGCCAAGAGGATAGTCTGTCACCTTGGATGCCCAGGCTCTGTCAAGCTGCATGGCAAGTGCAAAACTGTCCCGCGTGCAGGAGCAT